AAAAGAAGCAAAGGATGAGGGTGGTGAACGTCATCATGACGATATAAAAAGTCTTCTATTGATACTCTCTGTAATTGACATATGCATGACACTTACAGAAACATAATCTCCGTTTTATCCTAAATGTCCGTTCTGAAAATCTAGTATTCCCTTCAAAAATACATTATAAAATTCAATAAGCTTGAAATATTACTCGAATTCCTTTTTTCTACTGAATTTCTGTTCTACAGCCGATTTAATATATTAAATGGTGCCAGGACACTGATACAAAGCTTCACCTACTAATAAACGTGGGCTAGGAAAGTATTAAGAGTTATATATGGACTCCCGCGCGGCCCAATAATTTGCATCGCTCAAGAGTAAATATGAAAAGATATAGGATAACGTCTTCACGTCAACGAAACGCGATTTAATCGCTTATAAGCAGCTACACAACAAGCGTTATCACAGTTTCAAACCAACTCACGTGCTCGGTAACAGCCGAGGTGCTACAATATCGTTACGCCGACAAATCGTATATATATTGGATGGGGCTTTCAGTTCTTCGCGTTTATCTTCACGGGCGAACGCTCGGAATGGTTCATACATAAACTTATTCGAAGTAAGCACCGAGTTGTAAACTGATATCTTTGAAAAAGAGCAACTGTTGAGTTTCTTGCCGGTCTCTTCTCAACAGAAACTGCTCTCCGAACCGGTGTTAACTTACGAACTTATTAGTTTTTATGTAAAATTTCGACTTTTCATAAGAACACGCAAGCGTCTATTTGAATAAAGATATTTTGAATTTTAATTTGAATTTAAATTGATACTTTTTTTTTGTGAATAGTTGCCAAGCGAGCAGGCGGTTCACCTGATGTTAAGTGAATACCGCCGCCCACGAACATCTGCTACACCCGAGGGTTACAGATGCGCTGACAACCTTTTGAAAACTGTATTTGTTATACTTCCACTTTACGCCGGTGTTCTGTGAGGTCGTGGTACTCACCCGGACGAGCCTGCCCATTTGTGCAACAGCCGAGGCTGCTGCGTGGCCAACTACAGATTACAAATATCGATGTTCAATCTTAAGTGCAGAGATTAGCACTATAAAAAATCCATAACATAATTGTCGAAACCGTTCACAAAGCGGATCTACCGCCGAACGATTCGGCCGCCCGCAAAGCTCGCTCGCAGCACCGACAAAACGTCTAAGGCACGAGGAGAACTACACTTAACGTCGTAACTAACAAGACAAAAGGGCGGAGGCCGCCACTCGCTTGTTAGCCGCGTTGGTTATGCGGTGGGAGACTTTTTTCGGTTCCGTACCCAAAGGGTGAAACGGGACCCTATTACTAAGACTCCGCTGCCTGTATGTCTGACCGTCACCAGGCTATATCTCGTGAACCGTGACTGTTAGACAGCTGAAATTTCTCACATGATGTATATTATATATCTGTTGTTATAGACAACAAATACTAAAAAACAGAACAAAACCCTATTACTAAGGTCTGTATGTCTGACCGTCACCAGGCTGTATCTCGTGAACCGTGATGGTTAGACTGTTGAAATTTTCACACATGATGTATATCTGTTGCCGCTATAACAAAAAATACTATAAAACAGAATAACAAATATTTAACTCCAACACAACAGACATGATTATTTGTCGTTTTTATATGGTAGCTGCCGGAAAGGCTTCGTTCTTTTTTTTTGTATTAAAACCTTCCGTTGACCTTAAGGAACATACAAAAAAATAAATTAGGCGAATTGTTCCAGCCGTTCTTGAGTTAGGCGCTAACCACTTATTATTTATACAGCGCGTCGTTACTACGCGACAATAAATGAACACGCGTCTAACGCTACTTGCCAATAATCATAAAAAATATTAACGTTAAACAATATCCATAATAAAAAAATAATATTTTACAAACAAACTAATTAAGTAAAAAAGAAACAAAATTTTTAACATCCTATACAACTCGCGCCACAGCGTCGCATTACAAGCCTCTCCTTCTAACAGTACGTTTTGTCTCTTTTAAATTCATTCAACCCATTCATATGCCTTGTGACCTTTACAAATGAACTTTACGTTACGCTTTTATAGGCAAGGGTGTTCTAAAATTCTTTGTTTTGGAAAATTTAATAACTCTGTAAATATTGATGTTTAAAGAATTTAAATGTTTAATACAACTTTAAAAAGTCATCCCCTATATGTGTGTTCATTTATTGTCGCGATTGTAAAGACTGGCTGTATAGATGGTACGGAACCCTTCGTACCCGACTCCGACTAACGCTTGGCCGGTTTTTTTACGTGAAAAGTTGCCAAGCGAGCGGAGGATTCACCTGACGTTAAACGATTACCGCCGCCCGTGACATCTACAACACCCGAGGGCTAGAACCTTCGATATAAGTGGGCGTCGGCTCCTCACTCACAAGATGAAGCGACAAAAGTCAAAATCAAAATCATTTATTAATCGACATGAGAAACTTACATTTCATCTATCGATAGTCATATTTTTTTTAAATCTTAAACAAACGCTAAATTCTCAGTTGTCGTTTGGTCAAAGACTGGCAAACAGCGGTGCAAACGATTGTAAGGTTTTGAATAAGTGAGATTGTGGTAGGGCCACGCGGCAGCTTCCGCTGTTGCACAAATGGGCAGGCTCGGCTGGAGAAGTAACACGGCCTCACAGAAGACCGGCGTGGAGTGGAAGTATTATACTATTAACACGTTTAAGAAATTTATTAATGGAAAACTTTATAAAAAGAGCTTATAGAGCCTTAGATAAGAGCCGTGATAGCTCAGTGTCCGGGCGCTCGCCTTTAGTTCAATATACTCGAGCAACCTGAGTTCGATCCCCGGTGCCGGCACCAATGAAGTTTTTAACTTTAAGTGCTGACTTATCACGTGCTCCGCTTTGAAGGAAAACATCGTGAGGAAACCTGCATATTTTCGAAATAATAACAAAAAAAATATATATTTCGAAGATATGTGAAGTCCGCCAATCCGCAGTGGGGCCGCGTGGTGGACTATGCCCTGATACCTTCTCTATAGAGCAGGCCTTTGCCCAGCAGTGGGACATGTATAGGATGCTACTTTACTTTACAGTTTTACGATATTACGATATTTTCCTCCACAACCGACACGAAAAACCGGTTTAAAGCTTCAACGATTTCATGACATATTTCATATTTACCTATAAATCACTATGTGATTTACAAAATGATGGCTAAAATTTTTTAAACAAATTAGTAATTTCAATAATTCATACTCAAGGGAGTAACTTAAGATTTTTTTTATAATATGAATATGTTAGCCGACAAAAAATGACTTCGCATAGTCTTACATATTACCATATATAAAAAAAGAAAAGCCAAAGAAAGAAACTCCAGCAAGGGAAAAATTTGGATTTAGAGCCTTGAAATTCAGATCTCGTCAGAAACATAGCACACAACCATTTCATCCGGTTTATCGCGAATGCGAAGATGTCCTTCGCTTACCAAAACCTGTTGTGTAGTACGACCAACGCCATCTAGTGGCGAAGGAAGCAATTGCAATGGAGACCTCGCATGCAGAACTCGCGCGGCCAGCGAAACGCCGCCCCAAATAAATACCGCCATTCAAACGCACGCGATGAAAACTCGCATAATACTGCATATCCATAAACCCCCGCTTTATGGCACTGTCTAGCCGGACGGATTTATTGGCAGCCGAACGTTTGCCGCGGCAGTTACGACTCTAACCCCATACAGGTAGATCCATATTGCGATGACGCCGCGCCCAGGTTGTGCCGGCCGCTAAGTCGGAGCGTCTGCTTTGCTTTAGTGTAAAATGATTTTTTGCTTTTATTGATAGCGGCCAGTACCATCGCAAAGAGCAATATGACTACTATGCGGGGTATTATTAGAAACCGAATCGAGTCCAGATCGGGGATGTAACCTCATTTTGGATGAGAAGATGACCAGAAACCAATTTCACAGAAGACCGACGTGAAGTAGAAGTATAAAATTCCGCGTTTTGTCTGCTGAGTGAGGTAACCTGGGTCCACTTTTTTAAAGGTTGTCAGTCAACGCATCTGCAAGCCCTCGGATGTTGGAGATGCCTATGGGCGGCGGTAATCACTTAACATCAGGTTCACCTGGTGTTAAGTGATTACCGCCGCTGGTGTACTGCGCGGCATATGCTGAGTCGCTCCTATCCGTCACTACATCCTTATTTATAAATTTCTTTTATTTTTATTCTTTGTTTTACTTTAACTTATTATTATTTTTCTTCTTGTATTTACTCTTAGGTTATTTAATTTACTTGCTTATTTTTTTTTTATTATTTTTTTTTTTAGTTTGTTATTTTGTAATTATAAACATTGTAACCAAATGAAATATGTGTGCAGATGAAGTGTCGGATTAAATGTCTTAATTTCTAATGTCTAACCGCCTACTCGCTTGACAACTTTTCACATGAAAGAAAACAGAGACCTGATAATTACAACACTTAATCGAAAGCTACACGTAATTGTGTCATGCCGAAATGATTTCGGGATTGAGTGAATTTCTTTCATTTTTCGGGAATTCTTTAATTTAATTTTTGTCGCTTTCGAGGTTTATATTGTAGATTTTACACTTACTATGGACACAACCGTGATTGGCAGTAAACGTTTACAAACCTTCCCAACCTTCCGTTCTTTACTCTACATCTTGAGAATTCTAATACGTGCAGGCTGCTTCTTTGCTAATTTCTTACCAAAAGCCTCCCTAATTTACACACTTCGTGTCCATTTATTTTCTCGGTCTAACTAATGACCATTGCCGAATATTAAAATATTGTGAAATCCTTACGATATGTGTTAACACATTTGTGGCTGTTTATTTGTTCGGTATAAATGATGACCACTGCCAAATATCAAAACGTTGCAAAACTAAATGTGGATTAATAGAAAATTTAGTCAGTTTATCCTATTACACATTTGTGGCTGATTAATGATTTGTCCGCAAACATTAAAGCACAATGGAAATTGTTCCAGGCGATGCTGTTTTACGCGCCGCGATGGCTGTGGAAGTCGTGGGAGGGGGGCAAGATACGGGCGCTGATGATGGACCTGGACGTGGGCGTGTGCACGGAGATAGAGAAGAAGACCAAGAAGAAGCTGATCCTGGACTACCTGTGGGAGAACCTGAGGTACCACAACTGGTGGGCCTACAGGTACTACCTCTGCGAGGGTCTAGCCCTAATCAACGTAATAGGTGAGTGAGGAATCCCACCCGAATAGAAATCAAGGACATAGTCATAGTGTGAGAACTGTAGACCGTTGTGTGGCCGGCATATTTCTTTTTCTCAAGCGAACTCATTTCGAATCTTAGTAACAGCAAAAAAGCAATGCGATGTGCAAACAAAATATATCCAGGGTTTGTACCAGTTTATTAAATGTCATAATTTACTGTTTTCTTCGCGATTTAACTGCTGTTTCTCATTTGAAACGCATACATTAACCGTAGGAGATTATTTTTAATGCAGACCAGGTCCCCCGTGCGCTCGGCAAGATGTAATGGAAGTTTGAAAATAATCTGAACTAAACATTCGATAAACTAATAATAACAATCTAAAATTGAAGTAGCGTCCATAAAGTATTTTATGTGCGTTTTTAATTCAATATGATATGATTTACAATCGACGGGTAGCTAGTTGTGATTCAGGGCAACGGTCGCGGCATATGGCTCACTGATATTTCAGTTTGGGAAGACGACGGGCCACGAAACCTGCTGCTTAAGTTTCGTTTTATTATCTTATAAGGGAGTGGTACATATACCAATTTATATAAATACAAGAAAAGTAACAAAATCCCACCAAGAGTTTAGATCAACCTTGAAAGTATACCAGCAGTTCTTAATACACGTGCGAAATTCGAAGAAAAACTGAAATAAAATAATAAAAGCAGAAATAAAATAATATTGAAGTAAATAAATCTATTACTGTCACACATCCATTCCATACATAGTGTTTATGAAATAAGTTATTAGATAACCTCGACTCGAACAGGAGTACTCTTATAGGACTCTTAAAGTAAAATAAAACTGTGAATACGGCCAATCGGTGACAAATTCAGATTATGCGATATTGTAGACACGGTAGAAACATAATGTACGATATTAATTGCCTACCATGTAACACATTTGTTTAAACTCCGAGGCGCTTTTGGCAAGGACTTCGGCTTCGGGGGTCGTGGGCTCGATTCCCACAAAACAACTTGTGTAACCCACACAGATAATTATTTCCGATATGAGTGTTTGTCCACGCAAATATCAAAATATTTTTTAATAATAATAATCTAATTTTTATAATCTTGCCTATTAAAAGGTTGCCGAAATTAAGATACTTTCATTTTATTTCGGCGAATGCCATTGTTTGACGAGTCATTGGTCACATTTTTATTTAATATCACCATTATAAGTACTTATTGTATAATTTAGAGTAGTAAATACCATTATTGTTATATGAATCGTAATACGCATCCCTCGCTCGTTTCCTGGCCTCGCAGGAAGCGCGTGGCCGGCAAATTTCGCTAACGCACGACACTGGCCTGTTTTATAATAAAAATATACAACCGGAACTGTTCCGAAACAAATATGGCGCAATCAATAGAGCCCCTAAACCTCTCGATTATTTAAGCATTTCTTGAAGCTTTAAATAAAATCGAGTTGTTTAATCAATCACCGCAGGATCCATTGTTTTTCTAACATTTTTTACGTCTCTACTACTAAGAAGTGAGAATCGTTGAAATCGTTGAAGTCGTGCGAATATTATACAATATCTCCACAACTAACCGTGACAACTTGAGGCGTCTTCGAGTGATTACATTATTTTGTCTTCATGTGTATATTTTGGCCCTTTTTTCTTTACATACATACTTTCACAATGCTCATACGTCAAGAGTCGAACATGCCTTGTTGACTGCACCTTTGTTTTCAGGGCAAATGTTTCTCATGAACCGCTTTTTCGACGGCGAGTTCATGACCTTCGGCCTGAAGGTCATCGCTTACATGGAGTCAGACCAGGAAGACCGCGTCGACCCCATGATTTACATATTTCCAAGGTGACTATTCTTTTTATGTCATTTAATTTTTTAGCTGTGCTATGTTCACGCAACAGTCTACGCTGTCGTGAGATTTAATTTTTTTAGCTGTGGTAGGGCCATGCAACATTCTACGCTATCGCACGAATGGGCAGGTCTATCCGGAAGTAGCACGACCTCACAGAAGACCGGCGTGAAGTAGAAGTATTACACTTCTGAATTTCATCTGCTGACGGATAAACGGAGCTCACTTTATTAAAAGGTGGTAATAATAATGCATCTTCAACCCTACGGGTGTTGCAAATATCCATGGGCGGCGGTTATCACTTATCACCAGTTGAACCACTGGTTCACTTGTCACCTCATATAAAAAATGCACAATTAGATGCACACACAAAGTAGCATGCTCTATGCTAATAACCGATAGCTTTGCATCTTGTGCACCTCAACCTTCAGTCAAAAATAATAGGAATATTTAAAAACCGCCCTATACTATAGAAATAGAAGAAAATGTATGAAAAGTTAAAACTGATTACATCCGTTAATCAAAATATTTAGACGCAGTAATTGTTTGATAACTTGGACCATTTGTATCATACAATCTTAGCTTTACGTGTACCGAATTTTTTATGTGTGGACTTGCTTGTCAGACATGTCGGAATCTAGAAAATTCCTAGACAGCTGTAAAAAGGAAAGCGATGGAACTAAGGAAAGGCTCTCTAAATATTTGTAAAAAATGCAACATGCTTGTTCAAAATTTATTAAGTTCTAAATAGATGGGGTTTTATTTTCCATATTATGTTCTTATGTTTTGGTCTTATATAATATTATGTATTTGCTTAATGTCTTATATTGGCGTTCTAAAAGGTGTCCCATGTTCAACAGTATACGACGTGCGGCTGATAATAATGATTGTCTTATATAACTTCGGGTACTCCTTGCCTATTTAAAGTCTTATCCTTTTGAATCATATTTGTAACTGTAATATTAACTATTCGTGCCTAAATAAAAGTGAAAAAAACATCGCACCGTCTCAATTGACATGAAAGCGGAGGCAATAAGCAGTACCTACATCACGTAACCGTAGTGTGTGATACCGCAGGCTGCAGCATGCAGGTACTTGCGGTCGTATTAAATCGCATCGTAAAGATACATACACCGTTTCACAGATCCAATTAACCTGATTACATCACGTCTGTAACTTTTCCAATAGCGCTGCCGCAGTTATGACATTTGAACATCCCGTGAAGGAATGAAGGAAAGAAAAATAGACACTATTTTTTTTGTTGTTTCTAAAGATGTTAGCGCCATCATAGAGACCGTGCAAAGCTTCACGTGGCCTGCTTGTGAAGTTTGTGACAAATGTTTCTTATCATTGTTTTAAACTTGTCAAAAACGTACGTTACGTATATTTAGATGATTTATATTTCCTGTGACCTGCTCCTACAATCTATATTTTGTTTATTTTTTTTTTATGTGAGAAAATGGCAAACGAGCTGGCGAATCACCTGATGTTAAGTGATAACCGCCGCCCACGGACATTTGCAACACCCTTAGGGTTACAAATGCGTTGCCACCTTTAAACAAAGCGGGCCCCGGCTACCTCACTCACCAGACGAAACGCAGAAATATGACACTTCAACTTTACGCCGGTCTTCTGTGAGGTAGTGATACTTACCCGGACGGACCTGCCCATTCGTGCAACAGTGTTACGTGGCCCTACCACCGTTAAAATAATACAACACCACATCTGACCCATAATACACCAACGATTGTCGATTGCTTAATCTTAAATGACAAAGCCTTTCACGTTTTACAGGATGGTGAAGTGCACACTGTTCAACAAGTTCGGTTCCTCGGGCGAGGTGGAGCGGCACGACGCCCTCTGCATATTGCCACTGAACGTGGTCAACGAGAAGATCTACGTGTTCCTCTGGTTCTGGTTCGTCATCCTCGGCATCCTCACCTTCATCACGCTGGTGTACCGGCTCGTCATCATCTTCTCGCCGCGGATGCGCGTCTACATGATGCGGATGCGCTTCCGCCTCGTGCGACGCGACAACGTCGACACGATCGTCAGACGGAGCAAGATGGGCGACTGGTACCTGCTGTACATACTCGGCGAGAACCTCGACTCGGTCATATTCAGGGACATAATGCACGAGTTCGCCAACAAGCTGAACCACAACTACCAGCACCACATCCACGGCGTGCCGGACGCGTGACCTCCGATCCCCGGGTGGGTGTTCCACACCTGACTGACGTCGCTGCAGCGCCACATGGACCCGCCCGTCTAAGAGCGCCCGACCAGGAACGGTGGCCGCGAAATAGAGGGCGCTGACGTTCTGTTCCCGTATGAAACGGAACGAGTGCGGACCTAGGCGGCCACCTTGTGGCACCCCCCCGCTCCGGACGAGATAAATCTTGTGGTGTGCATCAAAGAACTCCCTCGTCTGTATTCTAATGTAATCGTAACAGTGCAATTCGAAACACGCAATAATAGAGTGTACTTAATCTATAAGAACGTGATCTCAGGACGAATCTAATCGAAGGTCTTTCTTAAGTCAGCAGTGACGGTAACCCCGTTAGAGTAACTAGTGTTCATCTTTTAGAAGTATTTTTACTCATAGTTTCGCTGCTCGTAGTAACTGTTTGTCGAGACCGCTTTATTTCTTTCTATTCTAGCTAATAATCGAAGGTAAGCACATGGATAGCACACAACTTATCTTTTACACGAATATTCACTCGCCATGGATTTGATAGACCAAGAACGAAATTGAAGCAATAATTAATGGACTTAATGACTAATGTATAGGAATAATAAATCTTAAGTGAGAGAAATGTTCTATTGGATTCAATCATCGTCTAATGCCAAATAACGTCTTCCTAGGTGGATATTTCAAAAGGGCGTTATTACCTTTTGCGGGCCAAAAGACATTTATACATTAAATTTAAAGAATATTTAAGTGAGCAACTAAGTGTTCGAACGAATATTTCGAGCTGCATTTCGCTGTTGTTAAATCATTATACCATTATATTTTGTATTCTCTTAGTTTTTTTTTTTTTAATTTGACTTTTTGTTGTTCGAATAAAGCAGCCCAGTTAAATGTGCTTTGGACTATTTCATATCGACCGGAGGAACTTTGTGCTTTCTCATATCGACCGGTTACCAGATTTGGCAGTATTCATCTGCTCACGTCGATATCATATTTAATCGAATATCTGATATTATTTTGGAAATTCAGTTTTGTTATATAAAATATCAAATTGCTCCAAAGTTATTGCTACTGACATAGTTTTCTTATTTTTCATACGTAATGTATGGGCAGAAACTTAGTTGTGACTAATTCCTTACCTCGTGTTAAATTATACGAAATTGTTGAAATTGTTGTGTTTATTAGTAGACGATATTGTAAATGTGAAGAGGTTGATTGTCTGTAACTACTTTAACGGTACTAGTTAAGTGCGATATTGTTTTGCTTAAGTTCTCCTTGTATCATAGACAACTGGTGTTATCGATTAATTCATTTCGACTTTTAGGTGTCAATTTTAGCATCGTAAGAGATTTAGAGGGTTATTTTGAAAGGCGAATTGTTTTAATACAAACGCCGCGGTGGCGAATCGTTAAGTATTATGAATAATACATAAAGATATTTCGTTTCACAAAAAGATGATATAGTTTTATAGGTGTTAGTGTTTTCTACTTCTCTAGATATTCCAAAGAGGGTTTGTGTTTGACACCTAAAGTCTTCTTATGGTTAACTAAATGTTTCAGCGGAAACTGTCCACTGCTGACCATTTACTGATTAGGATAATCTAACTTTCAGTTCAATTAAACTTAGCGGTGATACAGCACCTGGGGAGTTTTCGTTGAAACCTGTATAAGCAAGCATCTAATGATGATAATATTACCAAAGAGAATATGTATATGATCGAGCAGTATGCAATAGGGTACAATAATCAGTACTATATGGTAGTCAACGACGCCAAATACCGTGCCAAAATATAAATAATCTAGTGAGGACGATGTTAAATAAAACAAGAAAAATTATCATGGAAAGTATCGAATAAATAATGGAAACTAATTATGGATTTCATTTTAGACTTAATACGTCGCAACATTAATAATGATTTTTGGAAACTAGTGCGCGCTCAAGGGGAATCAACAATGAGTTTTTAATTATAAACCAGAATAGCTTGCAGATGGCAGAACTTGTTCTTACTTACTTGACACTTATCATAATATTTTAGACAATTCACACAATATCTTTATTAATTATAGCCTATGTGTTATTCTGATGCTTAAGCTATAGTATAGCGAAGTTTCATTAAAATCCATTCAGTAGATTTAGCGTGAAAGAATAACAAACATCCATATATAAACTAAATATATATAAAGGTCTTGGTGTGATGCACTTTTTAATTGAATTAGAATCAGACGGATGCCAAAGTACTAAACATTTGATTAAGAAGTGAATGGTCGATAAAATTAATTTTATTCATTAGTAAGTAGTTCAAATCTTTTGGGTTTAACAAACACACACACACACACACTGCGTGTGTGTGTGTGTAACTTGTGTACACTGTTTTCAATGCTAAAGTTGTGACCGAAATATAGAACGAAGATGCTAAGCAAGTTACGAGAACAGGTTATTTATATTAACATTTTCAATATTTTTAATAAATTAAACTTGAGAGAACTAACGTTTCTACTTGAGATAGCCATTGCGTAGTTGCTGCGATGTAAGATAACCAAAATAACAGCAGTTTCAAAGCAAAGATCCATTGTTCAGATGTCTACGATAAAACAATCACTAGTCACTACCTCACAATAGCGCTTATAGCAACAAGCGCATATCATGTCAAATTTCGGCCTAAACATATCCTGAGAAACTTATAACTAACGTTAGTATTAACGGATGCGATCTCTTGTAATTTTGTATACCTTGCATGTTTCGTTGACATACGTGCCTGCCGCTTCTCTGTGGGCAATTAATCAAACAATGACTCAAAGGCATGTACCGTCCTTTTGACAAAACCTATTTGAGTCAAAGCGCGCCAATCTTGTATCCGTCACACATCCCGCGTGATACAGATAACACAGGCTTTTGTCGTCACTTTAGGTTATCTGTCTGTCAGCGCGCGTAATGAGGTGGCGGCGTAGAGGCACAAAGCAGTTGTTCGTGTTGTCAAATGCGAATGGAGAAAAATGTTAAATTTGAGCCATTCATCGGTAACCAGCACGCTAATTAAAACGGCTTCAATATGTAGTACCTATTTTGTCATTTAAAAATGAAACTGGTGCTCAGTTTCATTTTTGTCTTTATCGGGGGATAATGATTATAGTTCTTCGAGTCGGATCTAAACAATAATAATAACCCGTTTGTCTACCAGGTTAATTTCTGCCACTATTTTTATCCTATCGAGTTTTAGTGTGACAGGTCACACTAAAAGCTTCCGAAACTGGCCACTTACGTAAACAATATTTAAAAAGTAATTCAAATATTATTATTTTGAAAATGGAAGCGGCACAAATGTTTTCAAAATTAGTTTAAACGTACGAAAAAGTGCAATTATGCAGAGGCAGAATATTTTGACAAACAATAAATTAATTTGAATTTTAAATAGTATTTTGTCTCATTCATTCCGTAATTCAATAAATGTAAACACCGTGTAGGTAACGAATCGAAACGCAAACAAATACCGTCATTTCTATTCAAAGTTTGTATCTCAACGTACCTATAAATACTATAATAACGATGACGTCATAAAGTGGACAGAGCATGCAGCAGACTTTAGAAACCAATTGTATCATTCACCCAGTTTGCCTGCGCGGGCTTGTTTGGGGAAATTGGCGCCATAAATCAATCAGCGCGCCGTTGGTAGAGTATGAAAGTTTTTAATTAGCACAATTTCGCTATTGAGCCATTGCGAAATAATAAACCGTTTCCGTTTACGATGTTAACGATGTTGATTGATTTGTTGCCGCGATTATTTCGCGAACTCCACGCCGTAAAACACGGGCAGCGAATTAAAAATTAGGGACAAAGAGTTTAAATTTAGACAATGTTCAGTTTATACACTGTATGAAACGCGAATGTGACGCGCGTCCCAATTCTCAAAGACGTGTCGGAGTTGAAAGGGTGTTTATAAGTTAATATTCTTTCCAAATGGACGCTTTAATAGCGCGTCTAATGTAATCAATTTTCAATATAATATTTTTCAAAATAATTTTTATTAGATAGCTAGCTGTGTCTAACATATGTCATGTGAACACGTTGTGCCGGCGCCATTTAGGTGGGGTAAAGGAATAGAAGGAACGAATGCGCCAGATACGGAACAAAAAATTGGGTATCACAAAAATACTTACCTTGGGGATCGAACCCATACCCTTGGCTGAGCAACTGCGCTACTGAGTCTTCGGCCTATGGGTTACACCTTGTATAAATGAGGAAATATAAACGTTGTGGAACACTAACGTAAGAATTTATAGTAATTTCAAAATTTTTATAATTATTTAAAGACTTTTCAGAGCGATCGTGTCTGTTCCTCTGTTCTCTCATCAAAATCACCACACTATAAATTTACTATAAAACATATGTACGTATTTATAGTAATAAAAATAAAAAATAAACAATCGTAGAATATAAATTCATCTAAAATATGCTACGTTAAATGAAACGATCTGAAAAATTGACAACAGTATATGAAATAAAATTTCGATGCGAACTAAGCTATGGTAAGGAGAACAATCTCTGTGTATAAACAACCCATGTATAAATTGGTGGCGCTACGGTGTACGGCACATGTGGGTATTAGACAGTAGTGGTAAAGTAATCGCCATGGTAACTATTTACAAAAAATTAAAGATGCCAAGGTATGGGCTTCGGCGCCAGGGGGCGTGAGTTCGCGGGTTCGATGCCCACACGACAGCTATTTGTGTCCCACAGAAATCGTTTCTGATCTGGGTGTTTGTCCACGTGAAATTTATGTATGTAAAGTGACCTTACACTGGATAAATTACACTTATTATTACAGTAGGGCCAATGTTTTATGATAGAAAATATCTTCAAAAAAAAATCTCACATTCCTGCTACTCCAACACCACAACTGTGGCAGGGCCACGCAATAGTCTTCGCTGTTGCACGAATGGGCAGGTCCATCCGGGGAAGTACCACGACCTCGCAGAAGACCGGCTTAAGGTAGATGTATTATACTCTTC